ATAAAAATAAGGTAAGCTAAAGTGTTTTATAAACTAACAGAGAATGGCATTTTTTCTTAGTGTTATTTTTGTTCAGTGTTGAAGTTCTTTCTTTCTTTTTTTTTCTTACTTTCCCTTAAATTTCCCCTTTTAAATTTTAATTATGTCATAAAATAGGGAAGGCGAAAACAATTAAGTTCTGTCAATGGGATCCTCAGGGAGAGGTGAGGAGGCAAAGAAGAATGGGATGGTGGAGAAATAATTCCAGGGGATGGCAACAGCCAGAGAAGTTCTGATGCCCTGGGGAGCTTTTCTCCTGATGGGTGGAGGCTGCAATTGGCACATCATAACCTTTTCCTTCTCAACTCCAGAGAAACAGGAGACTGTACCTAAATGATCAAGCTGTAACTAATTGATTTTCAGCTAATCTCAGCCTCCAGCTATGAAGAAACAAGGACCAAAGGTGGGCCCCAGGAAGGGGTGGGGACAGTAAGGAGAGGGGTGCCAAGAAAGCCTGGAGGTAGAGAGACCATCAAACTAAAGAGGAAAGGCCAAGTAATGTGAGGGGAGGAAATGGGAGAGGAAGGCAATATTGAAAAAAATGGAAGAACGAAAGGAGGGAACTGGAGGTGGTGGGTGAGGCAGCCCTAAGCCCTCTGAGTCAATGTTATCCTACCTTCACAGTTCCAGCTGTTACTTCTGAATAAACTTTTACAACTGGCTATTTGTGAGTGACCATTAAGATGAGCAAAAAGCTTTTAATTAAGCTACATGATTATAACTATCGCTGCAGCCACGCCCATCATTTGACAATAATGTGGCTTTAAAGAAAAGAATCCCTTGGGTCACATTCATGAACGCCAAGGGTTGTTGAAGAAGAGAGTAAAAAGATTTCCACCCTCAGCAACTTCTTTTCTCTTCAAAAGTTAAAGGTGTTAAGGAAATATTGTCTTACCCAATATCAGCATTTGTTATTCCAGGCATATCCATGAATATATACTATAATGGTTTTAGATCATCTTGTCTCCTTTCCTATCACCGCCCCCCCCAAAAAAAAATCTTGCATGAGTTTATAGGTAAGTTTATGTTACACAAGTGTTAATAACCCTGTTGGAGAGACTACACAGATAGGCATCTTTAGGTAGATCTGTGTATAAATTCCTCTCCATTGGGCCCTTGAGTCAGCCAAAAGCAACAATAAATATCAATGATGTCTTTCAAACCTGTCAACTGAGAACATAAGCATTTTTTTCTTCTAGTACCAGGAGAGTTTAATGATTTGGGGAAGTAAGAGGAGAAGGGTTTATTTTAAAGTTTTGAAAGTATTTTTTTCTATTTCATATCAACGCGCTAAATATATTGTTATAAAATATGAAAAAATCTAAGCATCACTTTCATGTACTTTCATGCTTTAGAATTAATGCATGTTCTTGAAATATATCTAAGTTTTTGACTCCAAGCCAACTTGATGAGAATGATGAGAAACCATTAAAAAAAACCCAAAGTTTGTCTTCATCAGAGAAATACATGTAGACAAGGAATACTATGAAAGTAAATTTCCTGTGTTCACTGATTTTTGTACTTTGCTCTAAAACATCTACAATGTTGTATCATTTTAATTGTACTATTGCCAAGTAATCAAACAAAAGCACTTTCTAACTAAAAGATCTTAGAAATATACCATGTTTTATCTTAATGTAAACAGAAGATTTACTTAAAAATTGCAAGCAAGTTCCCTAATCGTCCCTTTTATTTGCATAGATATCTGATATATAAACTAACCCTTAACATTTTTGAAAAAGATGGCTAAAAAAGAAAAGATTTACAGGAAAGATATTTTTGTTCTCAACAAAATAACATGGTATTGACTGAGCAAAGATGCCTGGGATGGTCAACAGTTTTAGGGACAAAGCAGAAGAGTCAACCTGTAAGAGCTGGACGCTAGGAGACTGACAAAAATTGGCCTAAAAATAATGAATCCAATAGTGTGGAAAGTTTCTCTTCACACAATAATTAATATTTGTCTCTTCAAAGTGCACAAATCTCTAAAACAACTTAAGGGGCATAATAAGGTGCTTGTTTTCATGTTTAGTTGTTTACATGGGCCTTAAGACAATTTATTCACATTTTATTTTATTTTTTTTAGGAAATACTCATTTATTTTTCATTTACGAACAAAAAATTAATCTCATCTGAAATTTTTAAAAATAGGTATTTTGTTAAATGATTCGGAGTTTAAATTAATTTAATTCTTGATGAGCAAAACTAATGTTAGGAAAAATGTCTTTCTGAATGATAAGATAATTAAAGAAAATCCATCATTTGACTTGAAAATGACACATATTTGCATTAATATAAAGGATGCTACCATATCCTTTTAATGTAATTAAGCTTATTATGGAAACTGTCAACAGATTCTTTTCACATATTTAAATATCCAGGTGACTTCCTCAATACAAATCCCTTGCCTGTTGCTAATTTGATCATTTGCCCTTAGTCCCCACTATATACATATCTTTTAAGACACTAAAATAAATAAATAAATAAAATCCTCCTGAGTCTTATAAGAATATTAAAAAAAGTACCATTTGTTAATGAATGATACATTAAGAACCACTGAAATTCTTAGTGCAGGTAATCATGGTATTATACTTTTACCTTTTCTAAGTCTGCTTTGACCTATTTTATTATGGAAGAAATACAGAAGTTAAAGCCTTTTACTAAGTAGTGATTGGTTGTAAGCTTTGGATATATTAGAAGGCACGGTCTAAGGATAAAATAAAATTGTGGTTCAATTTTCCTCAGAGACTACTTGGAAAAACTCAGTAGCAGAATCAATTTGTCAGTAATTTCACATGAGACATTTAGTTTGGAATTATTAAATAAAGAAAAAATAATATGATTCATTATTGAGGATAAATCACTATTCAGCAGTTCAAGCATGATAAAAATAAATATCTTCTAGAGCTTATATCTGATATTGTTTCTCTAGAATAAAATGAATAATTGTGTTTCATGGTATAGTTAGTAAACTGCTTTGTTGGTATAATCCAAACAATACAACAAAAATTTCATTGATTTAAAAATGTAAGTATTCTTTAATGATAAAAACAGTCCTAGAAGTCACTAAATAAAACTGTTTATTATTGTTTTTGGCTTTCTTATTTTGTGTAAATGTATAAAAAGTAATGGCACACAGATTCAAAAATCATACTTAATTCCTTTCTAAAACAAATACATTTCTTTTGTGAATGATCAAAATATTTTATTTCAATAAAATATATATTTTAGAACAGATTCATGACTGAGTTATTGTTTTTTAAAGTACATTCTGCCCTGTTAGATTTTAGGTGACCTGAGTTAATTTTTTCAGTGATTTATTTTATGCATATGTAAATCATGCTAGATTGAAATTCTTCTATTAGAATATTAAAACTCCTTTAAATTATTGAATAATGCTTTAGAAATTGCAACAAAGTAAAATATGCCATGAGCCACAGAGCATACCACTTATACTAAGAAAAAGCAATCAAACTAATTTAGAACTAAGCCATATTTTAATGGCTTGAAAGTTCCAAATGAAACCTCTTAATTATATGTAGAAGAAAACGCCTCCAGTACACCTGATTAGGGCAACCAATGATGACTTACTAAAACTTAATAATGAGAGCTTTGTCTCTAGCAACATGAAATATGATTTATTAAGCACCTTATCCTTCATGCTATGATTGCTAAGAGCAAATGAGCAGAGCATATTAAGCAACATGTTTTATAAAAGCATTCATGTATTTGAATTTGTTGCTATCTGACTTTTCAAAGACTATTTTCTTTGAGACATTATACAAGGAAGTTTTTAATTAAGTATAATAAAACATGTCAATTTTAAGTCAAAGCAGATTACAGTTTTCAAAAGTTTTGAAAGTTCTTACATTAAAATGTTTCTAATTCTTTCAAGTTGATTAGATTTTTTCATAAAATTTTGTCTTCAAAGCTAACTATATACTGTTATTTTTTGAATGTCTGAAGATGTGAATTTTCATCGTTAGCCTCTACTAAAACATTTTTTAAAACTACAGACCTTGTGAAGTCTCTTTAAATTGGTAACTCCTTAATATTTTTGAGAGATGAAATATTGGGCATTAATTTACCATTTGATATTGTCAATATTTTAAAACTACCATGAAAGGACCAGCATTGAGTAAAACATAATTTAAAAAAAAATTATTCTCTAATAATGCTGCTCATCAAAGAATTTTTCAATTCATTTCTTATCTTAAAGGAAAAGGAAAATTTTTGCATAAGTAAAGACCATTATAGCATGTTTTATATTTCTCTTGCTTCTGGAAATAATCAAATGGGTATGATATCTTTTCATCATTAAGTTAAGAAATGTTAGTTTGAAGCTTCTTTTCCAAAATACTTTTCACAGTTTCAGAATCTCTCCCTGAAAATCTTTGATAGTAATCTTTTACAGCATTATTTTATCTCAGTTAATTGCACGTTATTTTCACAGTAGCTGACTCACCCAAATGAGAGTTTTTAGGTAGCGTATAAACGTATACTTACGTTTGTTAAGTTGCTAACAAAAAAATGTTTCAAAAGTCACTTTAGTTTTCAATCTACAAATGCTTGTTTCTTTTTTATTTGTATTATTATTTTTTTGCCCATAGCACAACTATCCTCATAAATTTTCCTTTTTTTGTAGACTATTGCCTGTTTATTCATACATTAAAGCAAGACTGAAATTTTAACAAGATCTAAAAGGACCCAAAACTACCCAACCGTGTTTAATTTTAGCTTTTTATATTTAAAAAATTAAATATATGTACCTGTGTGTATGACTTCGTTGCCTAAAGCAAAATTTTACATTGTATCAATGAAAGAAAGGAAACAGAAGCTAGAGAAGAGAGTTATAGAAAATGACTTTATATAAACACTACCACCTACCAGGCAGCTACTTTACTATTAGAAAAACTTCCACTTAGTAATAACATAGTTTAACAAATAAAAGAACAACATACCTAAATTGACAAAGCTCATGACCATGTCAGCATCATTCAGAAAGTTGGTATCCTGGAGGCTGGCTAGAGGTGGGCTCTGGGTGGTCAGAGGAGTCGTTCGAGATAACTGTATGCGACGAGTGTACCCATTGGGAGAGGCTGGGTATCCTTTTCTCGCTCCTCTGGTCTCTCCTGCCAGGGATGCCCTCACTGAGTATTCCGACTCTTCGGGATTTTCTTCATTGGCCATAGCATTGTATAGGTCCAGCATAAAGAGAGGTGCAGAGGAAGCTTGTTTTCCAGGTGAAAATGGTCTGGGTCTATGAGGCAAACCCAAGATAGAGAGAATTTCCCTCTGTATTTCCCGTCTTTCGTGGTTCCGTAGTCTTCTATAAATAAAACTGGAGTGAACATGATTGTCTCCCAAACCTCCTTTTGCATAACCCACTAGAACCCAGCAGCTCCAGAGGAAACCCACAATACTCCTAAGTAGAAATACAGTCAGATGCATTTTTGTCCAAAAGCAGAAGTTGGTATTTTTAGTCCTTCTTGTCCTCTTAAAAAAAAAAAAAAAAAAAAAACTAAGTTCCTAGGAGGTATGCTTTCCCAGTAGCTGAAAAAACAAATTTACCTATTCTTCATGACAGTGACATTTCTGAACATAACATCCTCACTGATTTTTCCTGTCCTATTTTAAATATTTGGGAATATGTCAAGAGTAGTTATTTCTAGGAAAGCTGAAACTTGGATTTCCAATTATCCACAGTTGGTAAGAGTTTTTCCTGCATTGATGTAGCAGAAAAAGGCTAACAGTATTTGATCAGATGACCTATGCATTCCTATATAGATTGATGCTAATCAGGCCTTTGGTATTTGAATCAACGAAAGTTGATCTTCTGATAAACTGTAGTTCCCAAAGTTATCTTCACTGGCTCTTGAGTTCTTCTCAACCCTTGAGCTCTTTCCAAGACAAATCCTGATTTCTGAATCACAGATCTATGCTGATCTGCACCTTGGTGTTGGAATATATATTTGTCCGGCAGCTTGGTGATAACTTTAACGTCTTTTGTGTCGTCTTAGTGTAAAATAAGACTCAAGGTTGTACTATTCAAGTAAATGTGTTTCCCTGAATTTACTTGAAAACCTTCCTGTAAGTCCATTCACTCCCTTTCTCCTTCTAACTGTTAATTCCACCTCCAGCAGGCACAAATATACCAGCCCTCTTCAAGGGAGATCTAAAGAGTAATGTAAGCACAACCCTGCTGGGAAAGAAGAGGCTTCTCATTGTAATTTGAAACTGGTAAAGCAAAAAGAACTTAACCCTTTTGCTACCAGAAAAGCCTTCATTTTCACAATTTTATAGCCACGCATCTAACAGAGCACAGTGATACATGGGGCATAGAAGTCCTGGGGGGGGGGGGAAGCCAGTTTGCAAGCAGCACACTGAAAATTTTGCCACCAGTTTTACATAGTACTCTTTTAGATCTTTCTTTGCATAGTACACATTTAATACACTTCTGTAGTAAGTCTCACGTTGTGGCTAAATTAACATACATCTCAGTTCTATATTTGAGGTTATTTCTAGCTTTTATGAGTTATTAAAATTTACTTTTTAAAAAATAGAAGGAAGAGTTGTAAATTGAGGTTAATTTGTTGTTTCTTAAAGACAGCCAGATCTTTTTAGAATAAAATACAGTAGAGAAGTAATCACCAGTAAATATATTCTAGCTCACAAAGCAGTAGTTATAGTAATTTAATAATGGTGATGAGATAGCCCAGCTTTAATGATCTTTATATACAAAAATTTTAAACAGAAAAATATATTTATATTTCTCTCATTAAGTCAGTTACGGTTGAAAAACAAATACCCTAAGATACAATGTCATGATTCTTAACTTTTAAGTCATTTCAGTTGAAATGTAAACAGACTTACAAAGACTTACAAATTAGATTTTTCCCATAAGTTATACTCAGTACTTTGGTTTGTTTTAACCCATGCAAATAAACACAAGTCAAATATTCTCTATGACTACATGCAGATCAAAATTTGCATTTTCAAAATTTGATGGGAATAATGGGGAAAGTGCACACCTTTCTAAAATACCATACTTAATCCAAGGAAATGAGCAAAGTACGTGTTTATCCTTAATGTTTAATGCCTTTAAAATTTGGAAGTCTACAATGTTTTTGTGCAGCTATAATTTTCCTTACAAGCTCTCACTTAACCTTAGGGCTCACAGTACTTTCATTGTCTGGGATATTATTCTGATACCAGTGTAGATTTATCGAGCAAATTCTAGAACTATTATGAAATTTTAATGTTTTTCTTTTACTCTACCTAGAGGCGCCTGGTTTCTTGTTTAATTTCTTTTTAAATATTTCCTCTGAGTGTCTAAAGCAAAGTCATATTTTTCACAAGTCTTCAGTTTATTGGTGAAGGCAAGATACTGAAAGGGCTGGCCGAATTTTATTGTGTGCCTCATTTTTCTTATACAAACTCACTGCCCTAAAACTTGATAATGCTGTTTAAGATTTGCCCTCCTGAAGATTCTTTATCAGCCCCCATGTAGGCTACACAGTGGCAGACCCAAGTACTGACATACACGGGACACCTCTATAAAACGAGGTACCGCATGAATAGCAATAGTGCAGGTTGTTAGTAAGTGAAGGAATACCATTTCAATAAGAAATGGTTTAAACCACTAAAATTCTTGAAGTTGTTTATTTCATATCCAAACCAAACTTAGAACCTTTTGGTCATTGCTGTGGATTCAGATCAAGCACTTTGAGACAAAAACAAAAAACTTTTTCTCTGCGTTTACAAAACCAATCCCAACTAAAGCCTACTACAGTTTTTCTCTACATTTTTTAAATAAATTATCAAGGTTCTGAATATGCTTCATGTATCTAGAGTACAGCATAAAGTTACAAGTAAAAATTGGCCACACTAGAGGAAGAAACGACGTTTATTATCTTCCACACATGCTGACTTTTTTTTTTCCTAAGATACAAGTGAAAAATAAGTCTAGGTGTCACGAGTCTCAAAAACTCATTTTCCCAAAGCATGATTTATAATATCAATCAGTGTCATTGTAATTTAACTGCTTAACCAGGCATATAGCTTACCTCTATGTTGGGAATAAGTTGCCAGTATTTCTAGTCAGATTTTTTAGTATCCACCCTCCCCCACCTTCCCTTCCAACTCAGACTAGATTTGGCAAACATTCATTTTTCAAAAGGATCAACATGTGCAATGAGAGCAAGAAAATAAAGAAGAAAAAAACTTGCCAGGAATAAAGGGGAAATGCTAACCACCAAATGAAAAGTCAGATTCATTTTCAATTAATTGTATTTTACTACATAATTTGGATTCCCAGGTAGATTTGTATTTATATACATGAGAGCAATTTGAAAGATAAAGTATCTGCAACTGCAAAGTATAAACATTCCAAATTTCAGAGCATGTATTTAAAAGTTGTATAAGTCATTGAACATACTGAATAAATATACGCTGAGAGAGAAGTTGGGACCAGAGAAACACCCAGAGCATCTCAAGAATTGTTCCTAAAGATAATTACATTTCAAGAAGAGAAGCCTGCATAAAAACCTCCCTTTCATAATGTAATATTTGCCTGGGCTATATAATGGAAGTGACCTTCTGGGGAGGGGGGCGGTACAGAGACAATTAAATCCAGGTAAGAGGTGCTTCTTCAACTGTCATTCTTTCGGTTCATTTTCTCTTTCCTTCATTAAAATTTGACACATTTAGTCCACGAATATGTAAACCAACTACATGCAATAGACAGCCTTTCAAAAGAAACTTGCTCAAAAGAAAATTGAAGCATTTGTAAATCTGTTTTGTCTGGAAGGGTCTTTGTATTTCACTTATGGTTTCTTTGTTGGTTTCTCCTTGAAACAAAAGTTCCTCAGTGAAAGACATGACTGCAGTGAAAGACAGATATCTAATATACATGGTATCTGCATTCCTAAATTATCTCTCAAGTTTGGAAAATAGTCCAAAATACTGTTAATGCGATCATAAAATTCTTAAGCAGAAGCTATCTTGGATCCTGTTGGAGGGAGTGGGGGGAAAGGGTGGGGAGGAGATCACTGAGGAGATTGGAGAGGCTGGAAGCAACGGGAGAATTCGGGGAAAACATCCCCTTCTAGAATCTTCTTGGGGAATACACACACACACATGTGCAGAACAGAGCAGCTTCTGTGATATTAAACTGCCTTCAGCTCTCTCCTTTTGAGCCAAAAACATAGCACAGATAAAAGAGAGAATATGGCGTGCATAGCAGTGGTCCAAAGGAAGGCTGAGTGATGTTACACCACCCCCAGCTGCCTTAGGTTTGCTGCGGTAACCTGAAAGCGGTTACAATCATGGGCAACCTACACTTTTTTGTCTAAGGAATATCTTTTAAGGAAAACTTGGAAATTAAAAATAAAATACAATCACCAAAAACTTTTAATGTTTGGTATTATTTTTAATGAATGGTGACATTAGTGAATATTTTGAAGTGAAAAGAGGATTTTTCAGTATGCTTTGTATTATTACACATTCCTAAGGTTGTTTTGTATCATTTCATGAGAGTAGGTTTTCTAATAGTTACTTAAGGGAGAACAAACCAACATTTAACCATTATGAATCAAACACTACTGATGAAACGCCTAAGGACTGTATGTGACAAACAGACTCCAACTGACTGACTTGAGAACAATTGGTCAGAGTATTAGGTTAGATGTTTTATCCATCAACCAAATGACAGAATATTTTAAATAGTTAGGCAGGTGACCGTTAAGCAGTTATGTAGTTAACCACAAAAGAATGTCTTCATTGGTAGAGCAATTTATAATTTTAAAAGCTCATTCACAATAACCTACCATTTGGAATTATTTATTCATTTGATGAATATTTATTAAATGCCTACTATCTGACCACTATGTGCTATATCTTCAGATATTATAAAAAATTTCAAAAAAGGTTCTTGTCCTCACAGAGTTTATAATCATATATTATCATTTCAATTGATTTAATAGCATAAAATTACTTAAATATGGTCATTAACCAAGCTATTTCTACTTTTTTGAGAGAGATTACCTAGAATGAAAGCTACATAAAAGTAGGGGCTTAGTTTATTTTGTTCACCAATGTCAAAGAGTACATATTAGCCACTCAATTAATACTGGTCACACAACATATTTTTTAACAAAGATGAACAATATTCCAGAGTTTTGGTTTTTTTTTAAAGACAGTGTTCTCTGGAAACATAGGAATAAGGATTCATTAGGCACATTAGCTGACCAGTCACTGTACCTCTTAGTAGGTAGGCTCGCCTAATATACTAAAGGTTATTACTCCCATGAAGAAATTTGCTTATTACATGCCTTATCCCAGTTATAAATTAAAGTACAAACTTCTGTGTCAATACTAGACAATCATAATGACTTAGAAGGAAAAGCATCATGCAGTGAATTACGTTAGTAATTGCAAAATACCTTGGTCTATCATTACAGGGAGAGCTGGTTAGGTTATGCCTAGTGAATTAATGTGGTCCTAGACCCAAAAGAGCAGCTTTTGTCCCTGTCAATTAATACCTCACTCTTTTGAATTGTAATGGCTTATTTGTTTTGTTTTGGGGTTTTTTAGCGCTGTTTTTATGGCCTATATTATAACACAAGAGGCCCTGAAAGTGACCATTAACAATTAACACCACCCCTGCTAAGGCTCAAGTGGATATATACAGAGGTGAGATCCGCAGGAGACACTGGGATGAGGTGAGATCTGAAAATGCCTGGACATGGGAAAAGGTACTGGATAAGACAAATTGGAGAGTACCAAAGTAAAAGCTTCTAAATTCACACCTTCCATAGTTTACACTTTTGCAGATGAAAAACTTTACCAACATACTGACCGATGCAAAATCTATAGGACTGTTATTAAAGTTCAAGGAAGAGCATAAACTGCTAATTTACCCCAATAATTCCCATGAAAAGCAAATCAACCCTCAGTGGAAAATAAAATATATAAATGGCACTAGTCATGGTATGTCCAAATAAGACAATCTGAAGGAAATTTTAAAAATTACCTAAAAGAAAACTACCTCGATAGCATATTTACTATTATCTGCAATGCTTTTAAATAAATGTCTCTATTTTTCCATAGCATCTTTCCCCCCCCGCCCCCAGGAAACAGAGAATATTTCATAGGATCCTTATCAAAAGGTTTAGGATAAATTTA